TGAAGGACTTACTCCTGGATATTGAAGGACTTACACCTGGATTTTGAAAGACTTACTCCTGGATATTGAAGGACTTAAATCTGGATATTGACGGACTTACACCTGGATATTGAAAGACTTAGTCCTGGATATTGAAAGACTTACACCTCGATATTGACGGACTTACACCTGAATATTGAAAGACTTATATCTGTATATTGAAGGACTTAAATCTGGATATTTACGGACTTGCACCTCGATATTGACAGACTTTCACTTGGATATTGAAGGACTTTCACCTGGATGTTGACGGATTTACACCTGGATGTTGAGGGACTTACACCTGGATGTTGAGGGATTTACACCTGGATGTTGAGGGACTTACACCTGAATATTGAGGGACTTACTCTTGGATATTGAAGGACTTACACCTGCATATTGACTGACTTACTCCTGGATATTGACGGACTTACTCCTGGATATTGAAGGACATATACCCGGATGTTGAGGGACTTACACCTGGATGTTGAAGGACTTACTCTTGGATGTTGAAAGACTTACTCCTTGATGTTAAGGGACTTGCACATCGATTTTGAAGGACTTACTCCTGGATATTGAAGGACTTACACCTGGATATTGAAAGACTTACCTCTGGATATAGACGGACTTCGTTCTGGATATTGACGGACTTATATCTGTACATTGAAGGACTTAAATCTGGATATTTACGGACTTGCACCTCGATATTGACAGACTTACACCTGGATATTGAGGGACTTACACCTGGATGTTGAGGGACTTACACCTGGATATTGACGGACTTACTCCTGGATATTGAAGGACATGCACCTCGATATTGAGGAACTTAAATCTGTATATTGACGGACTTGCACCTCGATATTGACGGACTTACTCCTGAATATTGAAGGACTTATATCTGTATATTGAAGAACCTAAATCTGGATATTGAAGAACTTAAATCTGTATATTGACGGACTTGCACCTCGATATTGACGGACTTACACCTGGATATTGAGAGACTTACACCTGGATGTTGAGGGACTTACACCTGGATATTGAACGACATACACCTGGATATTGAAGGACTTAGATCTGGATATTGAAGGACTTTCACCTGGATATTGACTGACTTACTCCTGGATATTGATTGACTTACTCCTGGATATTGAGGAACTTTCTCCTGGATATTGAGGGACTTACACCTGGATATTGAGGGACTTACACCTGGATATTGAAGGACTCACACCTGGATTTTGGAGGACTTACTCCTGGTTATTGAGGGACTTACATCTGGATATTGAAGGACTTACACCTGGATATTGACTGACTTACTCCTGGATATTGACGGACTTACTCCTGGATATTGACGGACTTACACCTGGATGTTGACGGACTTATATGTGGATATTGAAGGACCTGCCCCTCAATATTGAAGGAGTTATATCTGGATATTGAAGGACTTACATCTGGATATTGAGGGACTTACGCTTGGATATTGAGGGACTTACTCCTGGATATTGAAGGACATACACCCGGATGTTGAGGGACTTACACCTGGATGTTGAAGGACTTACTCTTGGATATTGAAGGACTTACTCCTCGATGTTAAGGGACTTGCACCTCGATTTTGAAGGACTTACTTCTGGATATTGACGGACTTATATCTGTATATTGAAGAACCTAAATCTGGATATTGAAGAACTTAAATCTGTATATTGACGGACTTGCCCCTCGGTATTGACGGACTTATACCTGGATATTGAGGGACTTACACCTGGATGTTGAGGGACTTACACCTGGATATTGAACGACATACACCTGGATATTGAAGGACGATACGTTTCTGTGATAATGCAGTTGTTCTGTTTATGTCAACCCCCTTTCATTCCTTGACTGCCGATTGATGTCGATTTATTGCATACATATTGCATGTTGTATGTCACGTATTGTATATTGCACATACTGCACGACCATCGTTCTTTACCTGATCACTCTCGGGAATTCCTGAACATTCCCTGAGAATATATGTGAGCACCTGAGAAAAGCTTCTCTCAATAGGTGGCGTTCCTCTTTGTGTGAATTCCAGCCTTACACTAAATAGGTTTCAAAGCACGTTGCTTCATTTTTTAAAAGCTTTTGTCTGGTATGGGTTGTCTATTTGTTTCGTTTTCAATCTGTTTGATATGAATTGCTAAGCGCAAAGTAAAGTGGCTTTGATGCTATAAACCTTTCAAATCAGTTTGCAAATAACTATATCGAACCCTCTCATAGACGAGCATACTGAGGCAATGAATGTTCAAGTATATCACTTGCTCACTGCTGAATGCCTTTAATGTCCCCGGACACACAGAAACCGACAGACATATACAAAGACTTACACACGGTGACAACACAGTGATACACACTCATTCAGACACACACACGGACACAGACAGACACATATACAGACATAGTGACACATTCACCGCCATACACATACACAAGTAGACACAGACACGCAGATACACTCACACACACTCTCACATAGACACACACGCTCAGAGACAGACGCATATACAGACATAGAGGCATGCCGACATATACATACACGCAGACAGACACAAACAGAGACAGACACACGGACAGACAAACACACATACACATACGCAGACAAACACAGACAGACACACGGACAGACATACACCCATACACAAGCGCAGACAAACACAGACAGACACACGGACAGACATACACCCACACACATACACAGACAAACACACGGACAGACATACACCCATACACAAACGCAGACAAACACAGACAGACACACGGACAGACATACACCCATACACAAGCGCAGACAAACACAGACAGACACACGGACAGACATACACCCATACACATACGCAGACAAACACACGGACAGACATACACATACACAAACGCAGACAAATACAGACAGACACACGGACAGACATACATCCATACACAAACACAGACAAACACAGACAGACACACGTGTTACGAGTGAAGGCGGGATAAAGGGGTATATAACACCAAGTCAGTCGCACAATGACATTGGATTACACAACAATCTGACTTATTGAGGAAGATTTATTTATACTATCCTAACAGAAGGCTGATGCAAGAAACCGATTTACAAATGTGGAAAGTGGAGAGGTCATTGTCTTAGCAATTTTTTATGGGCAAAGCAATATGGCATAGTCACCTCATTTTTAAATCCTTCCAAAACTGTACACCATGATTTCCTAGTTTCCATATTTGACACAGTCCCGACGTGGGTGCAAGTTTGTGAATTCACAAATGAACATTCACATCATGGGTACAACAACAACTCGCAAATGTCCCGTCCTCAAGAAACGTCCCAGCTAGATCAGAATCACCGAGCTGTCTGGCCAAATTCAATTAACTGACCAAAGCTGAATTCATCAAACCCTAAGCTGTACCACTAGTTACATAACAATTTCTCGCTCAAGCGAAGGCAGCACAGACTATCTGTTGTCATTAAAACTCTCTCCAGATTGTGTAGTATAATCATGAAGATATGTTCCGAAATCACCATCAACTATAGATGATTCCATTGCGAAAACTACATGGTGATGTAACAAATATCGAGTTTAAAGTAAGGGGAAATATTTCATACTGGCTCTTTAGCAGTATATGGTGGTTGATAAGGGCCATCACCATATCGCCCAAAGCAGGCACCCAAGTGGAGCTAGTAATTGTGGGACGGTGGGGTAGGTTATTAGTTAAAACCTTCTTCACCCAGAAGACCGGGTTCGATTTCCCACGTGGATACTGTGTGTGGATACACCCCGGCGTGATGTTGCTTGAGAATTGCTGAAGGCGGCGAAAAACACTCACTCGCTAGAAATTGTACAAGATGTGTAATAAAGTAACACGCAGCAGCAACTGATCTTCAGTCGGTCGTTTGGATATGAGTCATACATGTACGTCCAAAACATTCTGCATTCAGTAGTTTGACGTTATGTACTTAAATGCATCGTGTGACCTCTAGTCTGGACCAGACAATCCAGTGATCAATATCCTGAACATCGATCTACGTAATTGGAATGCGATGACATGTGTCAACCAAGTCAGCGAGCCAGACCACCCGATCCCGTTAATCGTCTCTTAGGACAAACATGGGTTACTGAAGATCAATTCTAACCTGGATCTTCACGGGTTTGTTCTGTCCTGAACCAATATGATAATCAAGGGCGGTAAGGTTGCCAAGTGGTTGAAGCGTTCACCCGTCGCGTCTAAAGCCCGGGTCTTATTCGGAATCCCCACATGGGTGAAATGTGTGATGCACATCCCCCTGTCTCCCCTCAGGAATATTGCTAAAAGTGGCAAAAAACTACACTCACTCATCCATATTTCAATCACAGATAAAAATGCCCTGGTTATGAAATTTCCAATGAAACATATTTTGAGCAGAAACTTCATTTCAGTGAGTGCGTTTAGTTTTACGCAGCACCTAGCAGCATTCCAGCTGTATGGAGGCGGTCTGTACAATAATCCAGTCTGGATCAGACAATCCAGTGATCAACAGCATGAGCATCGATCAACAAGTTCATTATGGAGGAAAACACCAACTCGTATTGGGCATTACCTTTTCACAATGGTGGCGGTGGGGTAACCTAGTGGTTAAAGCATTCGCTCGTCACGTCGAAGACCCGGATTCGATTCCCCACATGGGTACAATGTGTGAAGCCCAATTGATGTGTCCCCTGCCGTGATATTGTTAAAAGCGGCGTAAAACTAAACTCACTCATTTACTCACTTTTCACACTGCTTTATGAGCCATATTCTGTGACATCCAACCAGAGTGTGTATGTAACAAATACTAATTGCCATATTCTGGGACATCCAACCAGAATGTGTATGTAACAAATCCTAATTGCCATATTCTGTGACATCCAACTCAGAATGTGTATGTAACAAATCCTAATTTGTGGCTTCTAAACATCATAAAAAACCGATGACTGCGATAGGTGACCGTTTTAACATTTTATTGACCGATACAATAACATTGTTGAGCAGATGTGCATAGTTACGATTTACGACACAGGTGCAGTCTACTATTTGGCGATAATAAACGAGGTCACTGTGCTTCACGTCTCGGTGTTTCACGTAACTGTGCTTCACGTGTGTGCGCTTCGCATCTTACGTAACTGATCTTCATGTACACGTGCTTCACGTCTCTGTGAGTCTCGGCATCTGAAATTGAAATTAAATATTTATTTAATAAAGCGAAATGTATCTCAGCATGACATGAATGCCCGATGTACAATGCACTTCGTCCCAGCTACAAGCCATATTGTCCACCTACACCTCATTTTAAAATTTCATTCCCATTATATATTATGGTGAAGACGTGATTCCCACTTTTTATCCTAGCAAAAACGTCATTCCCATTTTATATCCTAGCAAAGACGTCATCCCCACTTTATATCCTAGCAAAAACGTCATCCCCACTTTATATCCTAGCAAAAACGTCATCCCTCCGATAAAACGTCATTGCCACTATGAAACGTCATTCCCAATATGTATCTTAGCAAAGACGTCATTCACACAATAAAACGTTAACCTCACTACAAATCCTAGCAAAGACGTCATTCTCACAATAAAGCACCATTCCTACTTTTTTGTTCCCGGAAGGTGAAAAAAACCGAAACAACTTTTATTTTCAAAAAAGAAATAGCTGTGTTGGTAAGGAGCAGTACATGAGTATTTCTAATCCTTAAAAACGAATAAGCTTTTGGTTTTTTTGGTACTCTTTTAAAAATTACATATGAAAGACTTGTGGTTAGTCTTAAGCGGAACAAATTCATTCTTTAAAAAATTGTGGTTAATTAATACAGAGCCAATAAAAGTTGCCGAAAAGTCGTCTGTGAAAGCAAGTTGTAACTCCGAAGCTGGGCAAAGCAGGTGACAAGATTAAATGACCATAGATTGTGAAAACATAAAGCTTTCATTTTCACAACGCTTGTTACGATTTCAGGTTTAGACAAACCTGTAAACAAGATAATTTACCCCGGAAACGCCCGTCATAGGCATTCCTCGCATTACGTCACGGAGACGCGCCCCTCTGATTGGCTGAAATTTCGTTCACAGGAGAGAATTGTGCACTGTTGTAAAAATGGTCGATTTAAGTTTATAAAATGTCGAAATGAGTAGTTTTAATGACGGGGTTTCATTTATAACGATACCAATAAATGTATTTGTACCCCCTTTAGTATACGTGATCAAGTGGTTAAAGCGTTCACTCGTCACGCTGAAGACCCAGGTTCGATTCCCCGCATGGGTACAATATGTGAAGCCCATTTCTAGTGTCCCTGGAATATCGCTAAAAGCAGCGTAAAACCAACTAACTCACTCACTCACCTAAAAGCCGTAATTTCCAGATTTATCATCAGACATTATGTCTCCCATTGGCTGCATGTCGCCCGTGTTGCCCGCTGTCTGCATGTCTCCCATGGTCTCCATGGCGAAGTGATGAGCAAGGTGATGGGCGGCGAACATCCTCACGTGATGCACGTACTCCTTGGCGCTCACACACAGCGTCTTCACAAGCCCCTGCAATAATGTCGAAATGTAGTACTCTTAGATGACCCAGTCATGTCACACCAAAAGATGGTACTTGTTGTTGCCCTGCCTCTCGCTGAGCAATAAGAAGACAAACAATGAAGACACGGCTCGGGGTCAATTAATTATGTCTGTGTCTGGTATCCATGGTATTTGCAACATGTTGTCACAGTTAAAACAGGCATTAGAATTGAATCTTAGAATATTGAATTTGACTTTACTAGGATGAAAACTGTCACCGAAGAACTGCAAAGCGAGGGTTCAAAACGCAATTATGAAACCCCAAGCGCCATCTCATTTGTTTCATTTTTCATACATGGTGTATTCTTTCTTTGTCAGTTTAATTGCATTTGTTAACAAGAATGGACGCCAGGATGTTTTAGTGCTCACCTTCATGAACATTTTCTTGGCCTCCTCTTGTGTCCTTGGGTGTGGGAAGGCCAGGTGTTCGTCGATGTTCATTACGTCAGTGTTGTTGCTGTGCACCTCGTTCATGTTGCGCACGCTGTCGGGGTTGAAGAAGCGTTGGAGATCCATGATAGACTCGCTGCACTTGCAGAACTTCATTAGTTCATACACGACGGTGAACACGTACTGCTTCTTCTTCTGGGTAAAGGTCCTCATCATCTCTGCGAACTCCTGCTCTTTGTGGACCTGAGAGTGAGTGAGTGAGTGAGTGCGACGAAATCAGTGAGAAGGAATGACAGAGAGGAAAGAAATAGTGAGGGGTGGATGAGTCAGTGACAAAACACATCTTATAGTTCAATTTTCATTAATCGTTCAATTTCCAATCAGTAAAACTTAGTTGACGGTTTAATTGTTAAAAATCATCCTGGTTAGAACTGGTCTTCAGTAACCCATGCATGTCTTAGGTGCGATTTACAGGATCGGGTGGTCAGGCTCGGTGACTTGGTGGATGCATGGCAAGTTATCCCAATGTGTAGATCGATGCTCATGGTGTCAGTCACTGGATTGTCTGGTCCAGACTCGATTATTTAACGACCGCCGTCATGTAGCTGGAATATTGCTAAGCGTTTGCGTTACATACCAGACAACCAGCCAAACAACCAACAAACCAACCAACCAACAAACAAACAAACAAACAAACCAACCAACCAACCAAACACACAAACAATAAATCATCTTCTCCGAACGCCTGTAATTAAACGCTGAATTCCCACCTGAGCATGGAGTCTAAGCACTCCCTGGAGCTTCTTCATATTCTCTGCCTTCTGCCTGTGTTCCTCCATGGCGGCCTGGAACTTCTCGAACTGCTGGAACTTCTCCATCTTCTCCTTGACCTCCCGCACCCACTGTTCACGTTGCTTCCGAACCTGCTCCTCCTTCCACTGTCTCATGACGTCGTACTTGTGATGAAGTCTCCACCAGACGAAGGGGCCAGGGTGGTCCCAGGGGGCCGCGGGGATCTCAACTCTCTTCTTCTCATCTTCACCTTCATCTTCGCTCATCTTTCTGTCGTCATCTCCTTTCATCTGTTTCTGCAGGCTGTACCACTTGAGAAAGTCGGGCAGCTTCTCCATCTGCCAACCCTCGAGCTCTCCGTCAACGTCCTGGAGGTGAACAAGCAGACAAGCTTACTGCCTTTGTCAGACTACTTCCGTTTCCGGTCACAACAATATATCAGGCCAGTTCAACCTTCAATGTATATGGTACTAAACCCCGTTTTTCAGAGTTTGAATTATTAAATATCTGCTTGTTTCAAAGCGGCTCGTTAATAGAAAATGAATTCCATGTAATATTAGGCATGTACATAATGCAATTTTAGAAAATTACTTCAAATGACACATCTCTGGGTTCACAAGCTTTCAAAGCATCATCTATGTGTGTAAATCCCTTGCAGTGGGATCGATAGATATAGTTTTACATCAAATATCTACGAAATCCTAATACTGCCGCTTTTGTAGCATCAAATATGTTTTCAGCAAAATTTTTAGTTTTTCATTTTTTTTCACATTCCTTCGAATATCTTATCGTTAGTTCACGTATTTTTGAAAACTTAAAATTTCGAGTATTTACTCGTCCTTCGATTAACTTCTCGTTGCTTCAGGTATTTAATGCGGTGACTTGAGTTGTGAGCATATTAAATAAACGCACACGATAGACTAGCATAATACAATTTCCGTTTCTAAAACATGCTAATAACGATTCAGAAACACAGATAATATTCACTAAGGATCATATATCATTTTGTACTAACATACCAGAACTATTTTCTGATAAACATTATTAAGTTCAGCCAAAAATAATATTTCCCAGGAAGTATACAAACTAACCTAGGCCATATAATCCCAATACTTCGAAGCAATTAAAAAGAAACTCCATTTGAGAAATTTACTGGTTAAACTTAGGTTTTACTTATCTGGAAATACTGGAATTATTGCAGACTTGTCATTCCCAATCGTGAAAAACTGTGTTACACCAAACACAATCTGTCAAGCATAGTTGGAAGGTGAGCTTCAGTATTTGTACCTACCTTGGCCATGGCCTTGCGAAGCAGGGAATGAGCTTCCTCTGAGTCCCAGGCTAGCGCCACTGGGGCGAGACATAACAGCAGCAGCAGACAGACCATCGTTCTGGAACAGAGAGAACAAATATTAACATTCGCAGTATACACCCAGCGCTGAGTGAGTGAGTATGGTTTAACGCCACTTTTAGCAATATTCCAGCAATGTCGCAGCGGAGTCACCAGGAATGGGCTTCACACATTGTACCCATGTGGGGAATCGAACCTAGGTCTTCGACGTGACGAGCGAACGCTTTAACCACCAGGCTACCCACAGCCGCTGTATTCTGAACCATTTGGCTGTTTAAGCTACCAATATGACCTGCCATCACTAGTAGTGGGAAGTTCAGGTGTTTGTTGCTTAACGCCGCACTCAACAATGTTCCAGCTATATGGCGGTGGTCTGTAAATGATCGAGTGTGGACCAGACAATCCAGTGATCAACATCATGAACATCGATCTACGCAGTTGGAATACATGTTGACATGTGTCAGCCAAGTCAGCCAAGTCAGTCAAGTCAGCCAAGTCAGTCAAGTCATGTTGGTGGCCTCTAACGACAAGCATGGGTTGATGAAGGCCAATTTTAACCCGGATCGTCACGGGAGTATTCTGAATCCTTTAGCTGTTTAAGCTACCAGTATGGACGGACGACGTAAAATCTATTCCAAAAATGTAATGACAACTATGCTATTCGTTAAAACTGCCTTCGTCGGATGACATGAACATTTGAACAAATCTGAATAAAAAACATCAAACACATAAGATAACCAGTCTAGATTATTCGCTGAAACAGATCCTATGTAGGGGCAAAGTAGCGGTGAAAAGCATGAATCACTGAAAATCAGGGATGACACCAGGTGTTCGCGAAATAGGTAAGCATTTGATAAAGTTTCTATAAGACTTGACTATAATTCACATGTATATATGCACATATAATGTATACATTAAACTATATACCTATAGGGACAGTATTTCCTTGCAAACACGTAATGAATGACAACTGGGTGAACAATAAAGCCAAGATGATGTCAACTTACCTTATCTTGTGTTGTCAACAGCGAGGCAGGAACCGTCACTACCAAGGTACCCACCACCAGCACCTTTATACCTACCAGGGATTTAACAAACAGCCTCCATCCCCTTCACACAATTTACCCCAACATCTTACACTCACAATGAACACCCACCCACCCCACCGGTCGTAATTGACAAAAAGTGGAGGTTTCTTACAAGTGAAAAAGACAGTAACTTGTGACGGCGCACAGCTTGTCATTCACCGGACAGTCCTTTGTCCAAATTGTGGACTGTTGGCGGTAATGTTTTGTCACCTAAACCATTCCAATTATGTCGGGGCCGATCAGTTTGACTCGTGTGTCCAAGCTAGATAACAGCAAAGTGCAATACGTGTGTTTGATGCTTCTTTCTCTGACTTTTGTTTCTGTCTTTGTGGCCGTCTTTGAAAGATTTAATTTAAACGGACGTGGAAACTTAGAGTATATAGTAGGTTTTAAGACCATTGTCTGGACAGAAGGGTCATCCCAGTTTAAGTTTGTTTGCATGGCAAATGGGAGGCGCTCCTCGGAACCCTGCAAAGTGCTCATCTGTAGGACATTCTTCTTGTCCATGTTGGTTCAGACCGAACTCGTCCTCATGTACGTGAGAGGCAGTAACTTCAGTGAGTGAGTGAGTATGGTTTTACGCCGTTTTTTGCAATGTTCCATCAATATCCATCATACATTGTATCCATGTGGGGAATCGAACTTGGGTCTTCGGTGTGACGAACCACTAGGCCACCCTATAGCTACCGCCTCTCTCACATGATGGTGGAAGACATGTACATTATTATCTATAACATTATCTGTATATTTTGTTCTTCATACAGAAATATATGTTAAGTTGATATTTCAATGCACTTCGCTACCCATCTACATGCCCTGTCTATATTTTATACTTTAAATGTCGGAGGAAAGAAAGGGTTCACTTCAAAATTGGATTTGACCAATACGTAACATAGGTTGTCAAACCATTTGTAGACTTACCTGTTTTCAGACATTCATTTATATGCCCATATATTTTGCATCAAGATCTTATAGTCAGTTCTTGTTTGTTTAATGTATAACTTCCATCAAACATTCTTTTATACTTCCTTCTGTCCAGGGGCGGTGGGGTAGTCTAGTGGTTAAAGCGTTGGCTCGTCACGCCGAAGACCAGGGTTCGAATCCCACATGGGTACAATGAGTGAAGCCCATTTCTGTTGTCCCCCGCCGTGATATTGCTCAGTCAGTCAGTCCTTCTGTCCAGCTGTTTAGAACTTCTAACACCCCTACCCAAAGTCGTCATTTTGTCTGAGGATTACCATAACCTTGGCACAGCTGATTATTGATTTAATAATGATATTATGAGCGACAAATACACTGCCATACTCATAAGAAATGTCAAATCACGGTGATCCCCAGTGTTCGAAAAAAGCGACGCTCGTCAGTTTATTGGACAATGTCTCACGTATTGATTAGTCTGTCATCATCTGCAGGATATTTCAAGTATGGTTGTAATTTCAATTTAAGGCAATGGAAGAATTATCATTCCTTAGTGAGCAAGGTTGCAAACACGAACAAAGAGAAAATATCCTTAACTTCCCAGATAATACAATGTGACATAAAAATGTTCTCATTCTTACGTTGGCAGTTTAGCGAAAATGAGCATACAGAACAGTGTGATGAACCATGTTACAACTTCAAGATGGAACAGCGTAACTGAAACAACTGAAGCCTGATTCAGTGTAGAACGGTGTCAGTTTTACAGAACAATCACTTACCAAACAAAATTTCCGTAATATAATTTTCACGACCAGCTGCCCTGACAGATGTTTAATTGCACATGCATTGAGGGTGGCACTTTAGTTTAGCTTAGAAAATAAAAAAAATCAACACGAGGAAAAGAGGAAAAGACAAACGACGGGCATGTTACACGTTATGCGTATATGGGCGCTGAGACGGATAAGGCAACAGGTCTTTCTAAAACTGGGATACCTTTTTCTTAAAATAACACTTTGTCTATTTTCGTACATTTCTAGACCATAATGCGGGTTTGGTTGGCCATGTATGGATTATACATAACAAACAACACTAACCATTCAGACGGGGCGGTATTCTATGATAATAGTGTGTTCTAAATTCACCGGGGCGGTGGGTTAGCCTAATGGATAAAGCCTTCGCTCGTCACGCTAAAGACCCCGGTGAGTTTAGTTTTACGCCTCATTTAGCAATATTCCAGCAATATCACGGCGGGGGGACACCAGAAATGGGCTTCACACATTGTGCTCTTGTGAGGAATCGAACCCGAGGCTTCGGCGTGACGAGCGAACGCTTCAACCACTAGGCTAACCCATCGCCCCGGTGAACTCAGAACGCACTATTATCATAGAATACCGCCCCGGTGAACTTAGAACACACTATTATCATAGAACACAGTTTGTTCGATTAGACAAGAGTATTTGGAACATATCGGCCGAGCCGATATGGGATAAACATAATATAAACGTTGTTGAAGTCTTGACGATGTCAAATATCCACAAGTAACGAGTGTGGGGGACAGGGTTCAGTCTCTATGCGTGAATATGATTCACATTGAAAGGTTCGTTGTTTGCATGTAATTTTGTATCATGTGATGAAACAGCAGGGAGTAGGGACATGGTGTTCGCTGTTAGGCAATACGCGACACCGCTCTATGTAGAAATGTCTGTGGCAAATTGAAATGACTTGAAAATTAAACAACAAAATAAAAACAAATGTTCCTTTTCAACCATAGTGTCAGGATACTATAATAAGAGAGCTAAATTATTCAGGAGTTGACTCGACATGCAGCACATTGGGGTTAGATTCCTCACACGGTACACTGAATGAATACCATTTCCCCCCGTCCACTCTGGTCATAAGGCCGGAATATTGCTAAAGGCGGTATAAAAACCTTACTCACTCATTGAAAAGAACTACAATTTCTTTACATAACAACAACGATATTACAACTACATTTAC